GAAAAAAAGGGCCTTTTTCGTTACAGTGTAACGGCCTGGTAAATTGCACCTAGCTCCTCCAAAATTAAATCAAATTTTTCGAATTTTATATGGGAAATAGAGGAGCTCAAGCTGCGTCGAATGGCGCTAGAACGAATTCTCTAGCTCATTTCGTTTTTGAGAAAAGCGGATTTTAATGCGTCAAAAACGTTACAGTGTAACGCGTGAACAAGCCGATAAGTAAACTTTACAACGAGGTTTTTTCTCATAGTTATATGCTGATGCTGTAGTATATTCTTTTATTTATTTAATCAGAAATGTAACTGATATGCAAGCCTAGTTTGAGACAAATTGTCCCCCATTATTCATACAGACATGAAGGCGCTGTTGAACAGAACGACATACTTTGCGACACATTTCTTCTGGTATCTATTCACAAGCTTCTTCGATTCTCTGTTTAAGTTCTTGAATGGAAGCAAAAAATTTTTCAGACCAAGCATAATTTTTTTCTGAGCTCCATAGTGGATTTTTCAAGCAAAATAAATAGGATATTCAGAATCAGCATAGCCGATTGATATATACCGACTGAAGTCGCATTAAAATTTAAAAAAAATTTTAAAAAAATCTGAGGTTTTTATTTAGAATTTTTTGCAGATCATGACCGTATAGTTTTTTTTTTCGAAAATATTTGGCGATAAAAAATAGTCTTAATATCAATGATGTATGATCTGAACGTTTTGTTTGCAAAAGCGTATAAAAATTTTAAAAAAAAAATGATCACTTAAACAGCAGTTGGAGTTACTGAGAGTGATTTGTTTTTATATTAAAAGTTCTAATTTTTATCTGTGTGAATTTAGCCAAATGAATCAATATCGTGAAGAACTTGAAAATCAGTATCAGATGAAGAGGGAACATTTGTTAGCATTGAAAAATCAACAACCACAAGAACAACAACAACAGATGAATGCTGATACACAAACAATTGATATATCAATGACAGAATATGAAGAAATGAAGCATCATGATCAATTAGAACAATTAGAAAATAAATTATTGAAAAACACTGAAGAAAAAGAAATGTTACGTCAACGTCTATGTGAAGTAGAAATTGAATTAAATCAAATGAAATTTATTGTTGAACAACAACAAAATAAAAATGATCAATTACAGTTAGTAGATGTAGTCTATGTTTATATGTTTATTATTAAAATGATAAATAATTTTTATTATTTCTAGAGAATACGAAAGTACATTGAAAATGTATGAAATGCAAATAGAAAGTTTAATTAGTGAGCGTAATAGTCTTGTTGAACAACACTATGAACAATTAAAACAATTAGAAAATCAATATCAAGAAAAATTAGAACAACAAAAAGCTATATCAAATGTGGAAACTGAAATACTGAATGAAAAGTAAGAGAGAAAAAAGAAAATAACTAGTCAACGTATGCTATCTTAAAATGTTGTTGTATTTCAAAAGAGAAATTCCATCATTCAATGTTATATTATATTTGATAATATTTTTTTAGTTTATCTTCATCACCACTGGCAACCGATCGTATATCTCGTCGTATATTTGAGCAGGAATTACACACGTGGAGATCAGAAACAGAACGTTTAACTTTAGTTTTACAACAAATTCAAAGTGAAAATAAAAAATTAAAAGAATTAAGACCAAAGCTGGACATGATGGCTCTCGATTATTTAAATGAAAATGAACGTTTAAAACGTGAAAATGAACAATTGTTAGATTCTAATTCATTTCGTCCAGTATTTGCTTCTTCTACAGATCAAACCGATCGAGATATTTGTCAATTAACATTGAAACTGTTAACATGTGAAGTGGCATTACAAACTACACCATTTGAAAATTTAGAAAATTTATGTAAGAATTTTTCAAGACAACCGTCAGACTCAATTTATCAAGAACTTGTTCGAGAAATTCATTTATTGAAAAGTATATTTATCCAAGATGATAGAAATCCAGATTTAGTGCAAAATTTACAAATTCAAATGAATAGCACAACAAATAGGCTGAGGGAAACAGAAAGACAGGTATTAAGATAGAAAACATTTTTTTTTTTTAAAACAAAAGTCTTCATATTTATTTTATTTTTAGCTGAGAATGATTCGTTTGCAAAATGTTCGTTTAAAAAAACAAGTAGAAAATTACACACTCCAATTTAAACATGTTCAACATGAAATGAACGATAAAATTCAAGAAATATTAACATTAAAAAAGGAAATAGACAGGTAAAAGTATAACAAATAAGAAATCTCAGAGAATAATATTTTTAAAAAAAAGACTACGATCTGTCCACGTGACGGTCGCCTTTTCGTGATTCCGTCACGTTTTTTGTTGTTTTGTGGGTCTCCTGGCATTCGAACAAAAGGAAACTAAGGAACTGTTTATACCTAGTCTTATAGAGAAAAGTGAGCTAGACAAAATGAGTTATTTTCTGATTCCAAAGAGTGTCGTGGTTCTGAAATACAACAAATGTTTTACGAGCTCCGTTTTGGCGGACTTTTGATTGAGTTTCGTAAAACTTTTGTTGTACTTGACGGCCACGATATTCTGTGAAAAATGGAATATATCACATTTTGTTCAGCTCACGTTTTATGCAAGACTAGATGTAAACAGTTCCTTAATTTCCTTTTGTTCAAACGCTACGAGATTCACAAAACAACAAAAATCATGACGGAATCACGCGTTACATGGACAGGTCGACTACTCATTCACGGTAGTAATCGAAAAAAAAACAGTATTTTTATAGACTAAAGACAGAAAACATAGTTAAATTATGTTTAGACTTCGTGCAAGTGAATTACAATATCGTATTGAAGTTGATCGTCTGAAGGCAGAATTTCAAGGTGAACAATTAACGTGCAAACAATTACAACGAGAATTAGCTGATCTAAAATTAGCTCAACCGATGGTCAATGACTCTCTTACAGTAAGTACAACGTGCTTTTTTAATTATTATTTTAACATTTCTTTCTTAAGAAAGAATGAAAACTATTTTTGTTGTTATTCTTGACTCAGAATTTTATCATATCCATTTTTAAATTTTTATTAAAACTTAAAATTTCAGACAATTTGTTTTATTTTTTTCACTTTTAATTCTTTTCTCATAAATAGTTTTGCTACTCTATTTAGAATCTTCGTGATATACTCGAATTAAAAGAACAGGAATTAAAAGCATTAAAAGATAAATTGGATCATACATCAAAAACTCATCAAATGGAAGTCAATGAGTTACACCAAACAAATCAGGTAAAAAATTGACTATAACATTTTCTATTAACAAACAAACAAATAGAGAACTCTTTCTAATTTTGCACATTCATTCACTCATATTGCTATGCTTGCTGAAATTGCTTATTGATCAAATATCATTTGAACATATCCCACCCTTTGTTTGTTGCTTTTGGTTCACATCTTCTTATTTCAGAGCATCGACGATCTTCTTAAAACACACACACATTGAACAATAATCGTGATATTATTTTCTTTTTCATATTTCTTTACACTCTTTTATCATGTTTCAGCATGTTCTACTTACTCTTTTTTTCATCTATATTTAATTTACACTTAAATTAATAGGCAAATTTAGTCACGGCTCTCTTTCTTATGTAAATTATTATTATGATTAGTTTAGTAAGAAAAATATCGATTATCAGTTTTACCGGTGATAGATTAACTTCCTTCTGTCGGTGTGTGTGTGTGTGTGTGTCTATATCTGATTGTTTTACTACTTCGCTGCGTATGTCTTGGTGTTTTATTTTAACTTTTATTTTATTATTGATAGTCAAATAAAGAAGATTTAGTTTAACTGTTTAATGATGCATGTTCATTCATATCATCACAAATATATTTTGTACTAATCTTTGTTATTAACTTGAATTTTTCTTATAGATACAAATTAAAACTAAAGTGTATATAACAGCACTAATCAACGCTAGTTTTAAAAATTAAAAATATTAAACATAAGCAGAAAAGAATTCTAAATTTTATTCTGTATACTCTAAATAAAATGATCCTATTTGTGTAATAATGATGTAATATTCTTTTGTTTGTTTACGTATTCATTTTGCTTATTTGTATGCATATATGTATCAAAAGTCATAAATGTATCAAAGGTCAAAAATATCAAACAAAAAGTAAAGATATAACTATTTTATTTACATATTTTAGTTTGCATTAGATAATGTTAAACGATATGAACAATTAGATAGTCGTCATAAACAAAAACGGACTGATTTAGAAGAGCGTTTAACTAGATTTAGCCATTTAATTAGGCCAATATTATCATTTTATGAAGTGAGTAATCATTATTAAGTACGAGAAAATCAAATATTTTCTTATTTTTGTGATTATTTTTAGACTCATGGATCTGATAAAATGTCCGTTGATGAACTATATGCACTCATAACTGATACAGAAGTGGAAGGACGCATCGTACAGTAAGTAGAATTTTATGCATGACTAAATCATTCAGAAGATATCTGTTTTAAGCGTCTGACGACAACAGTTAACTGTTTTACTTTGGATTTTTTTTTGTTTAGATCATTGGGTCCTCTTCGTGATTGTCTTGGATTATTAGAAGTTCAAATGAAAGACTTAAATGATGATCTCACTGAAAATCAAGTAAAAAAGCCAAAAAGTTGGAAATATAAATTTGATTCTGAACGTACACCAGAAAGTTAATGGTAAATGGTTTGAGAGTCTGGATTGCTGAATTATCATGTAAATGTATGCGCATTTCTAAGGAAATGGACTGATCATTATCAAAATTTTCTAGCAATCAATCGTGTTGAACTACTAAACGCTACTACATATGCCTCATCAGCTTGCGGTGTTGATAAAATATTAGAAAGTGATGTTCAAATATGTATAAAAAATTTACTCGATCATGTGGATAAACAGTGATTTATGTTATGTTCTCTCAAATGTCTATTCTCTCTGTTATTATTGTTATAAAAGTAATCTATTGTTTGTTATAGGATGAAATTTTTTTTCTGTTGTTTTCTTTTGAATTGAATATTTATTTATTTATTTTATTATCAAAAAACTTAGAAAGAATCAACGGAACTTTTACTTTTGATTAGGTAAGATTCTAACTGCTGAAAATTACTTAACGGATGAGTAATCCTGTTTTTTCGACGAAATACACTATGGGAAGGCATTTAAACAATAAATTACTGTGAAAGACTTCACCCTATAATTAAAAAGATACAACTTCACGAACTAAATATAAACAGATAAATACTTTTATCGACTAGGTTCTGCAAAAACCTAAAATTGAATGAATTGATCTCATCTGTATTGAACATTGCTGATCGACATAATTTTATATTATACTGACATAATGTGTTTGTTTAATGCGTTATGGATACATTCTATCAGACACGGTACGTTTAACGCTTCCGCTCGTCAAGAATCTATCTCCGAAAGTATAAGTTGGTCTCGGATTGCAATTTCTTGAAAAAAGAGGAATGCAAGAGGATTAGGAACTTTTTTAAAGAAGATTTGAAGTAAAAAAAGAAGAATGAGTTTTTCAGCCTAAAAATCACTGAGACATTTCAGATTAGAACCCGACTTATCGCGCATTGAGCATCTGTATCAGATTCCTGTTTCGCTGTAAAAAGGACATTTTCTCCCAAACCGTATGCACCAAATCTGAAATAATAAAAGAGAAACAAATGAGTACTAACATCCAGTTGTTTTTAAACAACATCTGGAATGGAAATTATATAGGAATAAAGATAGCCGATCTTTTTTTGGTGTCAGTTTCCATGCAGTTTCTTTAACAATTTCAGTACCTTTGCATCGTTTTTAGTAACATAACACTCGAACTTGTAGAAAACAGAAAATACACCTCACAATTGTTCTGATTTACCCTACGTATTTCTTTCTCGGTAACCAGCAGCAAATCTTTTGTCAGATCGAAGCAAACGTTGAGCAATGAGTGTTGTTCATGCAAACTTAAGCGCAGAAATTTTGTTCTTCTACTTTTCAAATATGTTCTTTCAGGGTAATTCGTATTAATTTTTTTTAGCTTTTGGTGCTTTTCTCTAAAATTCTTAGAAAAAAAGAGGAAAACCAACTTAAAAAGAGGACAATAAAAACAAAGAGGAAAAGGAGGATGAATCCGAGGCCAGAGTATAAGTCTGATCTTGACAAAAAATTCAGAAAATGTTGGACCGAAATACTTCAGTTGAACCTGTAGTTTTGCACAGCCAAAAATGCGTCATATTTTATTGAATTTTTTTGCAATAACTATAGTCAGATGATAGAAGTCAAACACACTTTCTGAAAGAGCCAGTCTGTTATACGAAATTCATATATGGACTCTTCAGATCTTTCAGATTTGTATCAAAATGTAGAAAAGGAAGAAAATGATAAAACATATGCCTATCTCCAATATTTGATTTAAAAATACATCATTCTTATATTTTAAAATGTTCTATTATATATGAATCGATGCAGAATTCCCTGCTCTAAAAGATGAAGTAAGATTTATTTAGGGATAGCCATATACATGGCCTATATCTAAAAAGTACTGCGAAAAATGCAATTTTAAAAATATGGAATATTTTAGTTTGCTATTATTTAATCCTAGTTAAACATATTATTACGCCTAAATACATGATCTTCTAGAGTAAATATTTCTCTTTCAAAAGAGCCATGAACGAATCATAGGAGTTTGACAGTTTTACGGAAAATGCGGAAATTTGTGAAAACTCACGTTTTTTCGTAACAATGCACAAGGATACTGCAGCGTCAGTGTAGTACTGCGTGATTATATAAAAGAAACATTTCCTTTCCAGGAAATGTATTTTGTATATAGTCACCATCTCATAATGCCGTGGTGTGACACTATTGTAC